TGGCCGATGGAGCTATTTCTTGGAGAAGCGCTAAGCAGACCTTGACTGCTACTTCTACCATGGAAGCTGAGTTTGTCTCCTGCTTTGAGGCTACTTCACATGGTGTATGGCTTAAGAGTTTCATTTCTGGGCTTAGAATCATGGATTCTATTTCTAGGCCATTAAGAATTTTCTGTGACAATTCAGTTGTTGTCTTTATGGCTAAAAACAATAAAAGTGGAAGTCGAAGTAAACACATCGACATTAAGTATTTAGCCATAAGAGAACGTGTAAAAGAAAAGAAAGTGGTCATTGAGCACATTAGTACTGAATTGATGATTGCTGATCCTTTGACTAAAGGCATGCCACCTCTAAAATTCAAGGATCATGTAAAGAAAATGGGACTTAGTTCCACTTTGTAATAATATTGAAACTCATATATTGTGAAATTTTCTCATTTATGTGCACATTATTTTGAGAAAATATATTGTTGTTGGACCAAGAATAAACATAAGGTTTATTCATAAAGTAATATTACCACATTAAGATTAAGAAACTAAATACATCGTGATACATGGATGATAATACTCGCTCTTAGAGGACTTATCGTTATGATTCATGTATTTATTTCTTAAGAAAGTTGTTCGAGAAAGATTAATTCAAATTATTAAGATAAACGTATGGACCAAGTGGGAGAATGTAACAGTTATTATTAAATATCTTATTTAATAATAACGTAACCGTTCTCATTAAGATTCATAATTCATTATCATGAATTTCTTCATTTATTATGGTTTAAATGATTTCAGTTTTTTATTCATTATGCATGAAACCGTTATTATTAAATTAAATATTTAATATCATTAAGTTCTTCATTATGGTCCAAACGTTACAAATTTGAATTAATTCTTGAACGTTATGAGTTGGTGATGATAAATGTTCTTGATGGGAGAACATCTATATATACATGAGGATTTTGGTCCCTTGGCTCAATCATCTCTTTGAAGCGAAAGGCTTTCCTACACCATCTAAAGCGAGAGTTCTGAGCCGAGAAGAACCAAAGTTCAAGAAGAAACCTATGTAGAAATTCTTGGCGACAATGGCTGGAGGTACGCTATTTCGTTTCCGCATTAGTTTTATTGTGTTTCTATTCCAACGATTTAGAAACACAAGTTAGCTTCATAGAATTTCTTACATAAATTACTCTCGCTGGTCCTGAAGGATCCGTTCGTGTTTCAGAAAACTTTGGCTTAATAGGCTGCGCTCGCATGAGATTAGCAGGTCCCCAAAGTGCAAGGTGGTAGTTGGTGGTATCATATTCCATCGTTTTCTCTTGCATCATTTTGACCAGATGATACAGAAAAATTAGTCTTAGCGATCCTATGGAAATAACATTGTCAAGTAAGTCATCCACCTCGAATGAATTTGGTCACAAGTATGGCGATGTCGACACAAGGTCTGAGTGCACAAACTTGATCCGATAAATAAATACCAACTGGTTAGACTTTATGAACCTTAGCGATTCGTGGCCAATAAGAAATAAAAGCACGGAGATGACAACAATTTTTTAGCTTCTTTGCTTGTCGGAACAAAGGTTATGAATATTAGTCTCGCGATGAAAAACAAAAAATTCCAATGTAGATAATATTGGTTGATTAAAGGTATCAGCTAGCTAGCTTAGTTGACTTTAATCTCATCTTCCTCGCTTACCGCTGACCTTGGAAGCCAGAAAGGTTTGAATTCAGAGCGGCTGAATCATTCATTCGCCTTCCTTTCCTCTGTTTCCTTCTTTCCTTTTCTAAGGAAACAAAACATTTCTTCTTGGCTTCCCTTCCGTTTGTTCTCTATGTCACCCAATTAGCCGTTCGTTCTATCGCAGCATCCACACATCCTGCCAACGAGCCTCATCAACACACACCTGTCCATTCTTCCACCACACCGTTCCCACCGAAGAGAAAAGAGTAGAAACAAAAACTAGGAATTATGGATGATGATAATAACAACACAACAATCTCTGCCTCAGCTCTCTCATTCCAGTCTCAGTCGCGTACGAATAACCCATTGGCTTTTTTGCCTATATGTCCATTTCCTTCGCTTGCTGCTAATTGTTGCGTTCATTCGATTGAACAGGAAATCTTACCTATTCAGCAAAAAAGAACCCAAGTTGGGCCACTCCATTCTTTATTCTTAAGCATTCCTTTTTCTGTCTACAGACATGAATGGGGAGTGAAGAAGAATACTCACCTGCTTTTCTTTTCCTTCCTTTTCGCTCCATCCTCATCCTATCCTTCCTTTTGACTTGGCGTTAAAGTTAGTCCATCGTGTGTACTCTTTTGCAGCGTTTCAAAGACACCTTAAAACGTTTAATCGAGTCTCTTCATCACGGCGTAGCGAAAGAAGCAAGCAAAATCTCACTCGGAGAAGCCAAAGCCATGGCCACGGAAACCACGCACTCGGTGAGTCCTCCTCAATTTTCTGTTTCTTTTAGCTCCGAGCTTGCCGCTGTTCCACCATATACTGTTGTATCCATCAAACTTACTGCCACTAATTCGATTCGTCCTCCCAAGAGTTCTTCCGAGCTCGCATCCACGCGAGAAATGAAACCGAGTGCTTCGGAAACGGAGACGTCCGACAGCTTCGTTGCTGTTGACATCGACGAGCTCTCTCAGCAACTCATGGCAAACATCAAGGATCGTTCCAGCTCAACCCCACGAGTTGTCTCGGTATATATGTTTCTTTCCTTTCTTTTCTCTGTGATTTCATGTCGATTTCGTAGAAGATTTGATTCTTCGGAACTGGTTTCTGAAGGTGATGAAGAAGAATCTTTCAAGAAAAGGATCACAAGGCAGCGGCGCCAAGCGAGAGAAGAATAAGACGGAGCAACGAGACCATCATCAGGGCACCGGTGAGTGTATCGATCGCCAACTCGTCCGGGTCGAACTGAGCGAACGTCGCGTCCACCGTCGTGTACATGTTCATCCTTCAGACGGTTAATTCTGATTATGGTACACCCGATAAATACATGCGCAGGGGACAAGTCACCTCTTTCAATGCGCGTGGAGACCGACGGGGAGGCGGCGTCGCTTTATCATGTGTCGGGCCCAACAGCGGAAGCGGGGCGATGGAGGCGGGTCGGCCCTCGGCGTCCTCCCTTGCCGTGGCTCGACCCCAACCGAGTCGTAATCGTATTCGCCACCTTGTAAGTTTATGATAGGTGTTATTGTTATTGTCCCTTTCAATGGCCTGAATGTTAAGTCAAACAATGTCTTCATCACCCTCTTAATTAAATTATAATCGTCCAATTATAATTTCACGTATGACCTGAGCATGTTCGAACGCCAGTCTTTTGTGACGATAACGATAACATTGAGTATAATTTATTACTATGTGATGTTAGTGGTAGATAGATGGTCATTTTATTTGAGAAATACATAGCAATCTTGATGGCTTGGATTAAACGACACAAAGGAACGAAACAATCTTGATAGAACCCCAGAGGAATTCTACGTAGATTGATCTTTGAGGGGGATCAACCTTTGGAACACTATAGGGGTTCCACTCTCCTAGAAATCGATCATATGATTGTAATTGTAGATAGATCTTTTCCCAAAAAGATAGAGACTACATACTTATATAGGGCTCCAAACCCTAGTCTTAGGGGTTACTTCCTAAGTGAGTTACCCATTTTGCCCTCAACCTTAGTCGATCAGCCCAATAAAATGGGGGCGACGGTTAGGAAGCCCAAAGGCTCAAATATAAACCATAGCCACATTTCTTTATAGGATATATGCGACTAGGTGGGATTTATTATAATCTCACAGGGTTTTTATTAGCTGCTTCTTAGTTAAGTAGGACCCAACCCTACTAGAGTTCTATCAAACCCGCCCTTTCCAAATCAGCCTTGTCTTCAAGGTTAAGGTTCCATGAACTCAAAGAACCGGGTCTTCAGCTCCTCATATGATTCTCATGTGGCGTCTTCGAGTGGTAAATTATTCCAATGCACTAGTACTTTAGTAGAAGGATATCGGCGGCGCATCACGATTCTACGGTTGAGGATGGCTTGTGGTTGGGCTTGAATATCTCCATCATCAGTGGTGTTAGGCAGTTGGATCTGGGGTGACTCGTGTTCTCCCAACTTGGGCTTAAGGCATGACAAGTGGAAGACAGGGTGAATTTTGGCATCCTCAAGCAATTTAAGTCTGTACACCACGACTCCAATACGCTCTATAATCTGATAGGGCCCATAAAAACGTGGGGATAGATTCATGGAGGCTCGTGTGTTGATGAAGAGTTGCTTGCATGGCTATAGGCGAAGATAGACCCAATCTCCTACTGAAAACTCTCTTTCACTTCGTCGTGTGTTGGCTTGCTGCTTCATTCTGGCTTGAGCGATAGAGAGATTATCTTTTAGCAACTATAGGAGTTTGTCCCTATCAATTAAATCTTGATCGACCTGATCTACCTTAGTCGAACCAATTACATACTTTAGAATCACAAGGGTTGGCCGACCATACAATGCTTCATATGGGGCATATTTTGTAGATGAATGATATGTAGTATTATACCACCATTTGGCCTAAGGAAACTATTTCGCCCACTCCTTTGGTCGGTCACTAGCGAAACACCTATTCACCACCTCTGTTTGGTCGTCAGTTTGTGGATATGCTCATCTTGAGTTTAGTGCCTTATAACTAAAATAACTTGGTCCAAAATTTACTGGTGAAGGATCCTGTCACGATCACTTACAATGGAACTTAGCATCCCATGCAGTTTAACAATATTTTTTATGAAAATATGAGCAATACTAGTAGCAGTGTAGGGATTTCACACAACACAAAAATGAGCATATTTCGTAAGTCGATCAACCACCATGAGGATTGCGATTTTACCTTTGGAAGGTGGGAGCCCTTTGATGAAGTCCATGGAGATGTTATAGGTTTCACGTTTGTAGGTTTAAAAAATTTTCGGTAATAGCCCATTAGTCCAAGGAACCAGCGTAGTAATTTCACGTTTGTAGGTTTCGACCAGCCTTGCATTGCTTCAATTTTTGTTGGGTCTACCGCTACTCCTTCTGATATTATGTGCCCAAGGTACTCTACTTTTTTCTAGAGAAAGTTGTACTTTGGTTGCTTAACAAAAAGAGGAATCTCCCAAAGGATCATCAAAACAACCCGTAAATGCTGAAAGTGAGTCTCAATAGAAGGACTGTAAATGAGAATATCATGAAAAAATACCAGCACGAATTTATGAAGAAAGCTCTGAAAAACATCATTAATGAGACTTTGGAAGGTTGAATGAGCATTAGTGAGTCCAAAAGGTATTACCAAGAATTCATAATGATCGTTATGTGTGCGGAATGTAGTTTTTGGAATGTCGTCTTCACATATTCGAATTTAGTGGTAACCGGATTGGAGGTCCAGCTTCGTGAAGACTCGAGCTCCTTTTAACTCATCAAGAAGTTCATTCGCCACTGATATTGGGTACTTGTCCTTGACAGTGATGCCATTTAAAGCTCAATAGTCGATACACATTTGCCAAGTTTCGTCTTTCTTGCGTACAAGTAGCACCGGTGAGGAATAGGGGCAGCAACTTGGTCGAATCACCCCTGTTTCAAGCATCTCCTTTACAATCTTTTTAATTTCATCCTTTTGGAGGTGAGGATAATGGTACGACTGAGTGTGTGCTCGTGGTTTGCCCGGAAGAATTGGACTCCGATGGTCATGTTGGCAAATAGGAGGAAGACCGCGTGGTTCAGCATAAATGTCGACAAATTTAGCAAGCAATTGGGCGAGATTTTTATTTTCAATTTCTATTTTCTTCCCCTTTGGTTGCTACTGGAGATGCATAAAAAAATCACCATTTACCTTGTCTAAAACTTTCTCCATTCGTTGGGTCAAAATAGTGGTTACGTTGCTTTCGTGCTTCCCGCGTAGGATGATTTGTTTGTCTTTACAGTAGAATTTCATAATTAATTTAGAAAAGTTTCAAGTGATGTCACCTAGTGTCGTTAGTCATTCTATACCAAAAACAGCCTCATAATCATCAATTGGTAGGAGAAAGAAGTCGGTGACAATTTCTTGGTCTTGCAGTAATAGTTTCACCTACGGTCATCTTTCGTCGCACTTTATGATTCTACCGTCGGTGACCTTTATGTCGAACTTGCTACAACCTTCGATGTGGAGCACCATCTGAGTAGCAACCTTACTATTTAGGAAGTTATTAGTGCTTCCTGTGTCAATGAGAACAGTGATCAGTTGTTGTTTGAGAAGGCCTCCAACTTTCATCGTTTGCGGGTTTAAGTAGTCGACTAGCACGTGTACCATAAAGTCGGTCGGTTATGGCTCTTATTTCGCATCTTCTTCTTCATGTTTAAGGTTCTCTTCTGGATGTTCAATGACCTCTTCTTCTAGTGGTTCAATCACAAGAAGTCTCTCTTTTTTACAGTGATGCTCGCGGCTCCCTGGCTCGTCGCAATGCCAACATAACCCCTTTGCAGATCGCTCCCGAAGCTCTTCTCTTGTCAACTTTTTTGGTGTAGGGGCTCGACTGACAGTGGGGGGGCTAAGGGCTTTGGTATTACTGGTTGAGGAGTGACCCTAGTCCTCCGGGCTTCATGGTTTAATCGCTCCTCTTGAAGTCATGCGAAAAAGACGGTTGTTAGAAGCGTGTATGATTGTTGCGCTTTAACTTTTTCCCGGATCTCCAGTTTCAAGCCCTCAACAAAGGTCCCCAATAGCTATTTTTCACACCAATCATGAGTTTGATTAGATAACCTTTCAAACCTGGTTTGGTACTCCTGAATGGTGGAGGTTTGTCGGATATTTGCTAATTGTCCGTCAATGTTCTCGTAATCGGTTGGTCCGAAGCGGATCAGTAGTCCTTCTTTGAATTGTTACCAAGAGATGACTCCATGAGTGTGTTCAAACTAATCAAACCACTGTATGACATCCATTTAAGATGTATAGCCGTAATTTCCACCATAGATGCATCCGCGGTTTTGTGGTACCGAAAATATCACTCCGTGCGCGAGATCTAACCAATCAGGTCTCCTTCTCATCTAGGGAAGTCTACCCTCATGAGTGGATAGTAGGGATCGGTCATATAGCTTCGCCTCTCTTGGAAGTCATCTCTTCAATCAAAGCTATCTCCTTGATGTGATTTCTTAAGGCTCGGTGGTCGGCTCTGCTAGTCATATGTGCCCTACAAGCTAATCACATGAGTGATGACACGTGTGACTTGACATGCAGTCTTTTTGCTTATTATATTTTAGTATTTTATCACTTTATATATATATATATATGTATATGTATATGTATATGTATATGTATATGTATATATATATATATATAAATATATATATATATGTATATGTATATATATATATATATATATATATATACATATACATATATATGTATATGTATATATATATATAT